GGATGTGTTTAATGAGAAAAGGGTAAAAGAACAGGATTTTTAACTTCCTGAAAGAGTACTGGTGTGCAGGGGCTGGAAAATCGAAGGACCACAGACAGGTGCATTAAGATCAGATGCTTTACAACTATGATTAAAATTAGTTCTTGCAACAAATTTTATTTGCAGGTTGGAACAAGAAAAAGAGATAACCTTACATTCATGGTAATTTAGTTCTTTTGAATTCAAGATATACCCATAAATACATTTCACCTGTTTAATTTTCATTATGGTTAATAACTAAGTAAATATTAATTTACTCTCCACGTGTTGTTTCAAACTAATGATTATCTTCTAGGTTTAACAGTAGTAGATTCTGCTTGATTGGTTACTCTTGGTTGGGCACCATTTGATGGATGTATTTAAATCTAAACTTGAGGGCAGACCAGTTTTTTTTTTTTTTTTTTACAATTTATACAACAATTAGGACTAAAGGGAAAAGGTTCAGGTTAAAACTAATTTCTCCTAATGAAAGCATGTTATGATAGCAGAGAGTTAGGATAATTCTTTTATATCTGAGGAGAACTATGACATTGGCTTTATTGAGAATATACCCAATTTAGGACATATGAGTGTACTAGTCATGTTAACAAACGATCCACAAATTATAGTAGCAATTATCCCCTAGTACCATTTCAGCCCTTCTGGGATCTTAGATTCATGCCCACTACTTCCTAAATAGCTACTCCTTTTGAATAACAACAATGGATAGGCCAGTCCAAAGTAGCCAACTTTTATCAAGTTTTTCTTTTTTCAGAGAGAGCTTTAACTTTAAAAGAAAATGATACTCCTCAAAAATTGTCTGTTTTGTGTGGGTATGTGTATGTTCAGGTATTCAAATTCTCATTTATGAGCCACTAGACAGACATTATTATCAAAGGCACTTATATACCACCTAACATAAATTAACGTAAGTATATATCATTCCTAGGGCAAAAAACCCAAATCACAGAAGAATTCCCACAGACCATTTTCTGGCAGTTCTATAAGTACAAAATATTGACATTTTATTTATAGTGCCACCTTATTTCCTGCTCCACGTGGTATTTTTGATTAGGCATGAGCCCCCTTAAGGCATTACTGCAATATTTGGTTAACAGAAACTGACACATTTATATATTAACATCTGATTTTCATGTAAGTCTTCAAAAACTCTAGGAATTTTGGAAAACATTCTATGGCTTCAAAGCATTTTAAAGTTAAAAATATTTCCTTCAAGGCTTTTTTATTCTTCCTTCACTATTGAAAGCAGTGTTCATTACCTAAGGACCATTTCTTCACTAGACTATAAGCTCCATGTGGGCAGGGCCTACGTCTGTCTTGTTTACCAGTGATTTCCCAGAGCCCAGCAGAGGACCCAACAAGGTGTCAAGTTGTATTTCTTGAATGCTTGAATTCGTATCTCATGACTTAGACTATTTTTTTTTTTTCACTTGTACTTTAGATGAGGGTTTACAGCACAAACTAGCTTCTCATTAAACAGTTAGTACCCATATTGTTTTATGACATTGGTTAACAAACCTATGACATGTCAACACTTCCCTTCTCAACCTTGGGCTCCCTATTACCAGCTTTTCTGTCCCCTCCTGCCTTCTAGTCCTTGTCCCTGGGCTGTTGTGCCCCATTAGTCTTGTTTTGTTTTATGGGGCCGTCTCATTTTTCACTGGAGGGTGAACCTCGGGAGTGACTTCACCACTGAGCTAAAAGGGTGTCCAGGGGCCATACTCTCAGGGTTTCTCTAGTCTCTGTCAGGCCAGTAAGTCTGGTCTTTTTTTGTGAGTTAGAATTTAGTTCTACATTTTTCTCCAGCTCTGTCCGGGACTCTCTGTTGTGATCCCTGTCAGAGCAGTCAGTGGTGGTAGCCGGACACCATCTAGTTGTACTGGACTCAGTCTGGTGGAGGCCGTTTAGACTAATCTATACGATCAGTTTTTCTTATTGTCAAGCGGATTATGTGTCTACCAATAGAGACATTTCTCATATCAGAACAAGACCTTAAAAATGGATCTTAATATTTGCATATTAAAGATGTGAAATAAGAAATGAGGTTCAGAGAGGTTAAGAGGCTCATGAAAGTCACATCACATGACTCAAATCCACCTTCCTCCACCCAGACCAATGTCATTTCAATCACACTCCTTTATGAATCTGTAGAAAAACAAATTTAAAATAACTGCCTTTCTGAAAAGAATATATATTCAGGTTCATTAAAAAAAACTAAAAAAAACTAGTTTGTAAAAGTCTTTTATTGTATCCGTGCCACACATAGTAGTGAAAAATAACACTCCTAAAAAAAAGAATGCTACCTCTTCCACAACATTTTATTTTAAATAAAATTTCAAGTACTCTTACATAGGTACAAAAAAAATTCCGATCTATTTGCCTCCAACAGGACACCACAACACACAGTAGATAAAACACAGTGGTTACAAATGTCTTTTAAATTTATTTTTGAGGCAAGGCAAATGGGAGGGAAATGTTTCTATGAAAAAATACTGTGTGCGTAGGAAATTGTCACAATTTTATTCCACATGGATACAAATGATTATACTTTAATTTAGGCCCTGGTGGCTTGAAATTATATAACAAAATAGAAAAATGGAAAACTAATATCCCCTACACCCTGTTTCAAAGGCAGGCACTACCAAGATTAAAGAGATGCCACAGTGTTGGTAGAGGATAATTACTGTACAAGCTATATAGCTATAATTACCTTCAGACTAAAATAAAATGCTACAATCCTTCTAAGGCATAAACAATAATGTCTGCAAACAATATATACACATAATACATATTTAAAACAAGACTTAATATAAACAATAATGAACAGTATATACATGTTAATTTTTCTTCACTGTCTTGAAATACAATTTAACTACACAAGTGATGCAGCAACATATATATAAATGTACTTGTAACTCTACAGTAAAATTTATTTTTGGTGCTTTTATAGCACATCAGTGTAAACAGTTTAACTTGGCTTTGTTTTATATTTTAAAACATTCCTTGTTGTATTTTCAAGATTTAAAGCAATTTTTCTAGTTCTTCCTTTTCACAGAAAACGAAGATTCTGGATGTGGTTTAATCATAAATAATTCATAAAATTAAATACATTCACTAAAAAATAAACTACAAAGTAAAAAAATGAAAAATAGATATTTATTGAGAGGGAAAGGAGAACCATTTCCCAAGTTAGAGCTCTGGTGTTGAATATTCAGTGCGATTTGATATATTTTAATTGCTATTGCACTATAACACCCTTTCCTTTGAAAATTCTTTGGGTGTGCTTCCCTGTTCTACCTAAATTAGCTGATAAATCACATAAACCAATAACCAAGGGCCTTGGTTGTTGTAGGAGTGAAGCCTTTAAAAATGGCATCATTCTTCTGATACTTTTTTTGTGATACTTATTTTATGGAAAAAAAAGTCATTATGTATGTGCCTTGCACGTTTATGTAAATACAGTTCACATTGCTGGTCTCATTTGTCCTTGTTAAAAGGAAACAAAAAAGGTTATTATAACTTCAGCTCACTTTGAAAGTATCTGTCCACTTTTTTTCAAAATACTTCCTCATACTGTGGCCAGCTCTGCCTATATCAGAATCATCTTCATTAAATGTTTCACAGTTGTCAAAAACAAGCCTGACATCTACAGCAAAGGTTTCAAGGTTTGGATACCTGAAAGAAAACACATGATTAGAGACTGCTTTTGTGGTTGTGGCTTAGGTTTATAAATAAAAATGAAGAGGTAATAAAAGGTAAAATAAGAAGTAAAACTGAAAGGAAGAAGAAAAGATTAGGGTAACTGTATTTCAACTGGTATCTAAAATATACGATACTGTTTTATAAACAAAACATTTTTTAAAATTCCATGTCTGCCACTACACAAGTTTTAAAGACTGGTTAAATGGAAAAACTAATCTCTCTGAAGATTAAGACACGTTTCAACTAACTGACATTTTCTCACATCCCATTTTCTGTATGACGTGTATCAAAATTCTGTTCCAGGACTCATCCCACTCAACTACTTTATTAACTCCTCTATCGCTTGTAGTGCCCTATTCTCAGCTTACACATCTTAAACACATTATCGGCATTAAAAAACGTTCAGTTGAAGGAGAAATAATATAAATGCTTTCTATGTACTGTAAATGATACACTTACCTACCCTGTAACTTTTACAGATATCCCAAGATATGACACTCTCTGTTGAACCTCCTCCATTTCCCATCTCTCTTCTCACTCCAAATATACTATTTTGCTCAAGCATTGGGGCATGATGATCCAAAACAGGCCAAAAAGTGTGTGGGAGTTTCGAGTCCACCAGAGATGCCTCAGAAGAAAGGCCTGGCAGTCTACTTTCTGAAATAATCAGCCATTGAAAACCCTATGGAACACAGTTCTACTTTGACACAAGTGGGGTTGGCCATGAGTCAGAATCAACTCTATGGCAACTGGAACTGGCTTCCTTTACCAGAGATAACATTGTGAGAAACGTTATCTCTGGTAAAGGGATGAAGCACAATTGAAGCATTGTGGCTTTCATGCTTTTCTGATGGGATCAGCCCAGTTCTCTCCTGCTGTGTAAGAACACGGAGAACAAAAGGTGAATGAATCTGTTCATGCTTATTGGTCAGAGAAGAGTGGTACATTTAAAGCCAACTCAAACCCAATTTGATACAATTTCAATATTTTGAAAGAGGGCTTTCAGAAATTCAAATTTTAAATTAATTCTAATTTATGATCAGTTTGATATTAAAATACATTACCCATTAGAAGTACCTGTGAGTCACTGAAGTTCTAAGACCTTGTAAAGTGGAATTCTATTTCTTTGATGAAATGCTTTATAGTCTTTGACTCTCTATGTGTAATAATAAAAGAAATAAAAGTTCTCTATCTGTAACAAGCTCACAAAGAGTTGAGTCAGCCCTTATATAACCTCATCCATTTTCCTGTTCTGGAAATTTTTTTTTTTTTAATTGAGGCACAATTCACATAACATAAAATTAACCATTTTAAAGCAAACAATTCAGAGGCATTTAGTACACACAACGCTGTGCAACTACCACCTCTATCTAGTTTCAAAACGTTTTCATCACCCCAAAAGGGACTCCTGTGCCCATTAAGGAGTTCCTTTTCACACCCCTTTCACCTCAGCTCCTGGCAACAATCAATCTTTCTGTCTCTATAGATTTACCTAGACTAGATATTTCATATTAATGAAATCATACACTGTATGTAGGAAATATTTTTATAAAATATTTTAAAGTCACTTTGAGGACTATTTTTCTCTTCAGACTCTTCCTTACCACAAGAAAAGGTTAATGGTTGATGCTACAGAGACTGAAATGTAGGGCAGAATTCCAGTTGAGATTCTAGGGAGATAATACCCACATTCATGCCCTTCCTTTATGGGGTTGGGGCAGCTGATGAAGTCCAGAAAGATTAATTAAAGCAGGTACTTCCTCCTCTCAGGTCTTTAAATTTCTACTTTACAAATTTGAAATACTATTAATGAGTTTTGGCTCTAACTCATTAGTTTGGGTTTAATTAAACAACTTGAAATTAGAGAGGAAGCTGATCAATCCAATGAGTTTTGCCTCCCCCACAGCTGGGTTCACAAAGAGAATTATACAGAATGGCTTCCTTTCTGCCTGCCTCCACCGTGCCCCACCTCAATCATTTCCCAGGGCTCCTTCTTAAAAGAGAACTCCAGTTTTGTGGCTCTTTTGGTAATTCTTTGTTAATTTCTAAGGCTTCACTTTGGAGATTTTGATGGTTAGGTTCACCCTCTATCCAGGAATTGCGGGATCATGGAAGTTAAAAGTCAAGAGTTAATTTAAACACTGGTAAAGTCTTCCTGCGTAAGTCTTTGTCCTGGCCATGTTTATTATGAAGTCAATCATGTTGTCCCCTTAAACACCTGAGTAGTTTGAAAGACAGAAAAAGCAGCAGAACTAGGCCGTATCTAGACAGCAGCTTTGGCTGTTTGGTTCATATTATAACCAATAGTTTAAATGGTTTTAAATGTTTTCTGAATTGGGGCAGGTGCCTACTGTAATTTTTTTGAAAATAAAACAAAGCAGACACGATCATTTGAAAGACTGATATTTCAGCCTTAATAAATTAGTCATTTGGTCAATCTAGTCGATCATTTGATATGCATGAGAGGGACACCAATCACCGTGAGTGAAGTTCTACTCAATTCTTCTAAATTGAACATAAATTACAGAGTACAGTAATTTTCACCAAAAGAACACCAGAAAGAACTAAATAATAAACTGAACAATAACAACAGCAATAACAATGTATTTTTAAAATACATTATGTAATTATTCTTTCACTGTACAGTCCTTTTTCCATATTTTTTAAGACAGCCTAAAGTTGATGGGCTTAGGTTATATTAAGCTAAACTGGCAGATAGCAATAAAGGAAGAGGGAGGAATGGAGGAGAGAAGGCAGCTCCACAACTTCTGGCTACTCCCTTGTGGAGTGGCTTTGTCTGGGCTTGTTCTTTAAGTGAACCGCTTTATTCTTGTGGCTCCAAAGTGGGTCATTGCCAGAACCAACTGAATTCTACCATCTTAAAGCTGCTACTCTCTGGCTTCAGAGTTTGAAGTGGTCTAACAGAAAGCATTAACTGTGACCAGGAAGTCATTTTTACTTTTGTGATAGAATCACAAGGAGGACATGGTGGAGAGGAGTAAATGATAGTTGTCTTCCATATTTAACGAATGCATTTTTAGCATTCTCTAACAACCCAGAATAAAGATTTTTCACATTTAAAATTTCTAATTATCTTCTACTCCTCAACTGTGATAATCTGAAAATATTCTAGTCAATTTTTATTAAATCCATATGAGGTGGTGTCAATATTCCATTGATTCACAAAGCAAGTGGTTAATTTTTTGGTTCCAGATTACATGCTACTTTGTTTGGGAAGCTTCCTTGATACTTTTCGTTACTCCTAGTCTGGGTTGGTACCCCTCCAACGTGGTCAAAAGAAGGTTTATCATACCACCTTTTAACTGCTTCAATGTTTTAATTGATCTGTCTCCCCTACTATCCTACTTTAGCCAAATATATACATACAGCTTTCCAAAGTCAAGGCCTATGTCTTTGCCATTAATTAATGTATTCTATGCTGACCAGAAAAGTGTTCAGTACATATCAGGCTTCCTTTACCAGAAATAATTACTGATGGGAATGATTTACTTACTGTCCACTACTTAGTTTCTCTCTAATTGTGGAAAAATCCATAGGTTTCTTAATAACTTTCTTATAACCAGGAACAAGTTTCAAGTTTACAGGAAGTAGAAAAGGCCAGGCATCCTCATGAGTTTCCATTTCAGTCAGGATCATACTAAAGAAAATAATGTTTGAAATCAATATCTATGCTCTAGGATGATCTATTTTTATCATAGAATGATCTGTTTTTATTAAAAATTTAGCTATTATCATTTTAGAAGTTAAAACAATGTAAATTAATTTATTTTAAAAAGATAAAGGAATATGTTTACTTACAAACTTGCCAAAAGTAATCTATAGTATGGTAAAAGATTTCTAAACAAGTAAAATGGAATGCTGTAAATATACAATACCTGCAAAGAGCTAGGTCCTTGGAATCATCTCTTTTAGGTTTTTTAACAGAAGTAAAGCTGTCTTGTTTTGACAAGTTAATAGAAGTGTTTTCCTCCATTTTTCTTTTTTTGAGGTCTTTGTTTCCTCTTTTTAGGGAACTGCTTGTAGATGCAGAGTCTTCATCTTCAGTATCACCTGCTAAAGGTACTTTCTTGCCTTTCTTTGGCTCATTTGCCTTTTTTCCTTTGACATGAAGTTTTTTGATTTTTAGAGTTTGACCACTTGCCTTTAATTTAAACAAAAAAAAGTGAGGCATAAGTAAATAATTGTCTACAGAACTTGCATTATTTTAAATTATGAAAGTCTAACAGGATAAATAAAAAGAATATTATCTCTGATCTAGAAACTTGATAATTCTATTATTTTCAGAAGAGTTTTGTGAATTTGTTTTCCCATAATATAAGGCTAAAATTGAATAAAGCATAAAAAATGAAAAATCCATTCATCTTGAGAATTCTTAAAACTTGAAGATGCTGATCTCAGGATAACTCAGGATAATCCATCTTTGGTGTTACAGAACTTACCAGCAGTGTAATGTAGGTCACTAACTGAATGAATTTGAAGATTACAAAATGACTCTTTTAGAATACAATATGATTAAGAGAAAAGGTGAATATAAACAAAAATTGATAGCTTATTAACAAGAAAGTTTAAGGGTTATTAATAAGCTAGGCCAAACATGAAAAAGAGCTCATGAAGCATGAAATAGAGAAAAATTCTTTTTAAATGACCAAATCTAATGGACTTGATTTTTTTTTTTTTCTGGATAAAGAATAAAAAGAATCTGCTATAAGAGAGTTTTATAAACTTAAGAGTTCCTAGGAGTGAATAAAGCAGTGGGGAAGGATGGGGGGAAAAAGATGTCTGTTTTAAGGAAAACAATGTAGAAAGAAATGTTATCAAGGATATTATACTTGTAATCAAAGTGTATGAATTCCAGCAGTGGTTCTGACACTAAGTGGTCATGGAGCTTGGGACAAAAATATCTATGAGGTCTTGTTTTCTCACTAGTAAAATGAAAAAGATAAGCTCCACAATTGCTAAGATCATCTAATTCTAAAATTATATAGAAAAACTCATTGTTGCCTTATGAATCAAATCACAACACTGCAGGCAGCACAATGATGCACGAGTTACTCCTTCCTGAGTCTCCAAATTTAGAAACAGGGAAATAATTCTGCCTTTAGAATGTTAAATTTTATAATAAATATAGTAGATAAAAGAAGAGAGATATGCAAAGTCACTGGCATTATATGACTTTTGCTTTGACTTCCCAGAATAGTGCCTACCTTTTTTTGAAAGACTATTTTTCCTTTAACCAGACTGTTAAGAAATCCTAGACTGCATAGTCATATAACCAATCCAGCAATAATTTAAAATTGGCTGTATTCTTGAAATGAATTTGGCTAAGAACATCTCTTAGAGTATCTCAGATCAGTTTCTTGAAGTATTTTCATGATGCTTTCTAGAAATATTTTTTAAAAACTGCTCTTTTATATAAGCAATTAAAATTATTTGGTTCTATATTGGCAGGTTAAAAGTAAAGTAGATATTTTAATTAACTAAAGTAATAAGGCAAACCATAAATCCAACACTTTCCCCCATATCAAAGAATCACTACTGCTTGTTACTAACTGAAGTAATTAAAATGTTTTAGTAAGTCTCTTATCCATTTAGTTTAATTTTCATTCACTAAAATCTGGTTATTTTTGGTTTTCATATAACACTGAGCTCTTAGCACTCTGAACAATGCTTAATATAATGAGGAAAAAGTCCATTTAATGAAGATTAAATAAAATTAGATTGAATAGTTGTGTTACTTAAAATAAAAAGAACAAAATTTCATGAATAATGGGCCAGAACTTCTAGTTTCAATTTGAACTACAGAAAGAAAATATAAAATTAAAATCACAGAATCAAAAGACTTCTGTTGTATTTAAGAAAAGACAATAATGTCTCAAAATAAATTTCTTTAATACCGTAAATAATGTTTATCAGCTTACCTTATTAGACAATGTAGGTACACACACTATAAAAGCAAGCTTTACAGTTACTCTGTTATCTGATTACTTTGTTCTTGGGCAGAGACCCCACTTCTCTCCATCTTGCTAGAGCCCAGGTTCAAAGAGGAACTTCAATGGGTCCTAGGCAGAACCTACCAGATTACACCTCCAAGGACGCATTTCTCTTATGTTTGTATATTTATATATCAGAAGTTGTAGATGGTGGATCACAGGCTATAAACAGCCCACAGAATGTGCTGTTTGGCTCTTATGATGCTTGTAAAAACTCTGAATTTGTTGCCAACATTAAAAATTTGGGAGGACATATATTAAAATCCATAATCTTGACTTCTCTTGTAATATTTGAAGATCCTGAAACACTGGGCCCACATTCCTACATGACAACTAACTGGAGTTGAGAGGTGACGGCCACAGTTAGATGGGGCATGACTCTCCTGTTTGCCACAGTCCCCTCCAGGGATCCAAGGAGCTCTTTTATGCTATTTGCCACCTAGCTTTTGTAGGCAGTAGAGTTTGAAACTTGTAATATGTATATTTGTGTGTATCTGTGAGCATATGTAAATATGCACATATACACACACAAGTCTTTTGATTCTGTGATTATGTAACATATATATGCAGACACACATACACATAGAGTAAAAATACTTAATCTTTATGATCTATATAGAAATAGCCATTTAAGGGCAAAATGTATAGCATAAATATTTCTGAATAACTATGAATTAATTGGTGAGATATTTTATAAGCCTTAACTTTTTCTTAAACAAAAAAATCAAATGCTCAGAATATTATTTTTTCATTGTTGTAAGAAACATTAACATCTAGTTCATTACATTTAAGAATGAAAAAAGCAGATGCACAGAAAGCCATTTCACATAGAAGGGCTTGGAGGAAATCATAGATCTGATGTCTCCTAGTTCACTCCTTGAATGACAGATAGCCAGAATTCTAATTTAAGTAAATTTATTGAAAGCAAAACCTACAATGGCCTAGCAGGTGATATCTCTAAGAATTAAAACACTTATCTATTAGTAATTCATAAAATATTAGAGAAATTTTCGTAACTTGACAGTAATAATGCTAAAGGATAATTTATGTACAACCAGTGAAGACTGTTACTAAACTACACTTAAATATATACAACAAAAATGATAAAGTAATGAGAAATCAAAAAGTGATTATTAATAAATATGATATCATAAGGCACTCCTGCAATTTTTAAAAATATATTCTAAAATACGTTAAAGTATTATTAAAAAAACTTTACAAAACTTTACAGCTTATAAAACTTCACATACATGACCTTATTTGATCCTCATGAATCTCCACAAAGCAGATACTATTCCATTTTACATATCATAACACTAAAGCTAAGAAAGCACATCAGTGTTTACAGATCAGGGAGATGAGAAAAACCAGTAAAGGAGACTGAGAAGGAGCAAAGGAAAAGTCAGTGGTTATAGTATTTTAATCCTAGAAGCCAAGTGAAGACAATGTTTCAAGGAGGAGGACGTGGTCAACTCTTATCAAATGTAACTAATAGGTCAAATGAAACCTGAGAACTGAACTCACTGGATTGAGCAATGTGGATGTCATCGGTTAAAATGATAAGAGTAATTTCAGAGTTGTGGAGGTGAAAAATGGGAGTTCAAGAGCAAATCGGAGGAGAGAACAAGAACAGAAACTTTCAAGGAGTTTTTCTGTAAAGGGAAGGAGAGAAATGAGGGAAGTAGGTCAAGGGAGAAGTGAGACCAGAAGAAGGTTTTTGTTTATTAAGATGGGAGAAATACTAGCATGTTAGTAGACTGATGAGAAGAACCCAGTGGAGAAGCAGAAATTGATGATGAAGGCAATAATTGTTGTAGTAACGCCCCTAAAAATGGTGAGCGGGGATGAGATGTGAGGCACAAGTGAAGGAGCTGGCTTAGTTAGAGCACTAGCAGCTCCTGGCAATAGGAGAGAAGGTAGAATATGTGAACCCAGATGTAGGAATGACAGTAGACGTGGTTGTGTGATCTTGTGATATTTTCTTCTGATGGCTTCCATTTTCTCATTGAAATGGTGTAAGGCCATCAGCTGAGAGTGAGGGTGAAGGAGGCAGAGGTGTAGGGTTGAGAATATAGAAAAGGGGTGATAAGCAGCCAGCATTACAGGCCCTGTTGAGGTTTCTGGTCTTGAATTCAGATGGCACTAGTCAGCAGGGCTGGGTGTTTTCTCCAGCCACATTAAGATACACAGGTGTGGGTGCTGGAGAAGACAGAGAGGTGGATTACCCAGAATTATGATTTTGCTGTGTAAGAGAAAGGTAAAGAAGCTAAAAGTGGATGTAATGATTATGATAATGGGATACTGACATATTATAAGCCAGGTTCAGGAAAGAGAAGACATGTAGGGAGAGAGGAACAGTGAAAAGGACTTAAGTAAACTGATGACCCTGGTGGGGTCAAATGATTGTTGGAGACGGAGAGCTGTAGGAAGTAAGCTGGAAAGAAAAGGAGTTAGTGGACAGAATGTATGTTTGGGATTGAGTTTATGGAGAGGCTGTAGTTACTGGTAATGATTAGGTCAAGTGAATAAACATGGGAGAGAATGGCTGAGGTAGGAAACACCTAGCGAAAAGTCTGGCCCTCAATACATGCTGATCCTTTTATATTTCTTATTCCTTGTTTTCTAACTCCAAAACCTACTTCTTCTCATTTATCATATTGCTTCTCTCTTAATTAATGGTATGACTTCACAGGTTTCTATTTTAAATATGACTGGAAAATGACTTAAAATATACATGCTTACCATATGACCGAGCAATTCCATGCTTAGGTATATACCCAAGAGAACTAAAAACATATGTTCATATAAAAACTTGTAAAGAATGTTCGTAGGATTTTCATAATAACCAAATAGTGGAAAAAATTCAAATGTCCATCAAATGATGAATGGCTAGATATCTCCATAATGGAATTTATTTGGCCATAAAAAGGAAGGAAGTACTGTTACATGCTACAACATGAATGAACCTTGAAAATATTATGCTAAGTAAAAGGAGCTAGTCACAAAAGCCCACATATTATATGATTCCATTTATATGAAATGTTCAGAATAGGCAAATCCATAGAGACAGAAAGTAGATTAGTAATTGTCAAGGGCTATGGAGGGGCAGGAAATAGAAATGACTGTTAATGGGTTCAAGGGATATTTTGGGGTGATGAAAATGTTGTGGAATTAGGAAATGGTGATGGCTGCACAACTTTGTGAATATATTAAAAATCACTGAGTTACACATTTTTAAAAGGTGAATTTTATGGTATGTGAATTTATATATATAACATAAAGCTCTGTATTTTGATCTGGCACTTAAAAAGCTTAGTTTTAGATCAGCCTTACCTTAGCAATGCAAGCTGGACAAAACCAGTCCCCATCTGGTATAGTAGTGATCTTGGGTCTATGGCAGTATGTATGACAGCCTTTGTCACAGCCATCACAGAGAAGAAGCAGCTCTTCATTATCTCCCTTTCGACAGATCTGGCAATACTATAATACATGAAAAATCACTTAAAATTAACCCTCTGCTTTGAATAATAGTTATTGGGATGTTAAACCAGAAATTCCTCATTTATATTAGTAATGAACATTCCGCTTGCTAACAAATATACAGTAGCCATACACATCTATGTATCTCTCATTACACAGATATGGACCACATGACGGGGTGAGCAGTTCTGTTGGGGTCAATGCACATTTCAGGTACACCGCAAAGAACAAAGCCATAGGCTTGAATGCCTGCACACACTTCAGAAGCAAGTACACATTAACATATGAAATAATTAACATGACATTAGAGCACATAAAGCAATGAATAGCTTTAATATGTGGTGGTTTTTTAAAAATGTGTTTTATCTTTTGATTATCTTAGCATCCTTGTGATGTCCTGAGAAAGGAGTAAGGGTTAGAGTTATTAGTAAAGATCAAAGTTAAGAAACTTGCATTCAGATCCGAATTACATATAACAAAAGATGCCCCTAGATTTTGACTAAATTATTCATCTATTTTTTGTTTTTAAAATGAGTGTAAAGTATTCAAATCAGGAAACTTTGAAAATTAAATCAACCCAAATCAAATCTGTATCACAAGTACATAAAATGCATCACTACAAAATAATTTTAAAGGAAAATGATACAATAAATTAAATCAAAGAATTTAAAATGTCATGATTTATTTTGTAGAGTTAAAAATAAAATTATTTCTTCTCTATTGAAAAACTTCTACTACCATAAAGCTGAAGTATAAAACTTTAAAATCTGCAAAGAAGTTTTTCTCTGATACATACATACTTTATACAACAAATTTCAGAAAGGGAAAGAAGTGAAAGAGACAAGTATAAACTTTCAAGATGTATTAAAAAGGGTAAGAACTAACATTCTGTTTTGATATTTAGTTCATATTTTCAGTCACAATAGAATATGTCCTATAATCAACATTTAAAACAATAAAAACATTTAAACTAGGAATCATTTATACAAATATAAATTTATGTAAATATATAATGTTAATAACAAGATAGCTTAATTGTTTAAACTTAATTTGTTTACTTCTCAATACATTAAATCTTAATCTGGGAAAGTCTTCTGTAACTCATTATGTACACTGTTGTTGTGCTGTTAGTTGCTGTCCAGTCGATTCTCACTCATGGCCACTCCACGTGTGCAGAGTAGAACTGCTCCAAAGGGTTTTCAAGGCTGTGACCTTTCAGAAGCAGGTGCACTAGTGATACTTTAAGAATCTTATCAAAATGACAGATACACACTATTAGACTTAACAAGTATTTATTAAATATATTTAATATATTAGTAATATCAAAATTGACACGTGTACTAAGATTAAAAGCAGCATGAGTTTAACATTCCAAGAATAAGTATCTATCTTTGGCTTCTTCTATTACCACATCACTAAATTCCTTAATATGGTATTAAACGGTATCTCCAAAATTGACTTATAACTTTAAAACTTTCATTGTAAAGTCACACACACACACAAAAAATCCCAAACCCACTGCCATCCAGTTGATTCCAACTCATAGTGACCCTATACAACAGAGTAGAACTGCCCCATAGGGTTTCCAAGGCTGTAGATCTTTACGGAAGCATACTGCCACATCTTTCTCCCATTGTAAAGTTACTCACTGAGAAATAACACTTGGAAGGTTATATTTAAGCCACTAAAACAATAATTATAAAATAAACAGTAATTTAAAAATAAGATTCATGACATAAGTAAATCTCGCTGTTTTCTACAATAGATAACTAAAATACTACAAAGTCTTACCTCTTATGCTTATTATTTTAAAAAAGCAGAATTACATTCTAATACTTATTAAGAAGGAATGACAAACATCAAACTCATAACTTTCTGAAAATCATAGGAATAGCTCAGTTTGTTAAAACAAATAGATTACTATTTGGTTTTAAGTCCTTTGCTACTACAGTTAAGGAATTGTGGATGTTGCCTAGTATTTAAAATTAACAACAATAAAAGCATACTCTGGGCAGAGGATTATCTGGAGGCAAATTATGACAGCTCCTTCTTTCCTGGTAAGCTTGGTCTCTGACCAAGGGGATATTTGTAAAGATATAGAGCACTTTAACATTTTGTTTAGGATCATGAGGATTATTATAAACTTAGTGCCATTGAGTTGATTCTGACTCATAGTAACCCTGTATTATTATAGGCACTTTTCAATTTCTAATGAAAGGTTATAAAATGTTCATTAGTCTTTGAATACAAAACTCTGTCTCTTTTCAGGGTAGTTTCATAGCAAATAATATATTATTAAGCTTTAAAAAAAGATTGTAAGAGATGTGTTAATAACATGGGAAAGGTTAATGAATTTGCAAAAACTGAAAAAAAAACTTTAGATTACAGAAAGTTAAGGATACTAATAAAAATACAGATCTCAGTATAAGTTTTGGGTTTCTGTGTATAGGTTTATAACAAAACTGACAGCACTGTGATGATTGTTTTGGTGCAGATGAGAAACATAACCGTAGAAATTTCATTCTGATGTAGGAACTTAATCTTTTTTTGATGATTATGTCCTAGATTTCACCAAATGTGTTTTTCCAAGATAATTTTTAAACTGTTTATTGATTATGATCTTTAAAAGGGTAAATTGTAGAAATATTACCCAGTAAAAATGCTACCAGATAAACTGAAAATACCTTAAAATTTATAGTAAATTCTAATCTGGATTTGGAAAAACCTAAATTTGAGCATACGGTGAAAATTGCGAGTTCATTATTCTGTGGATATTTTAGGAAGAAGTGAAAAACTACAGAAGAAAGCACATTTATTTGTATAGAATCAATCAGGCCTTAAGTAGTGTAAGCATAGAGGTAAAAATGGAGGGAAAAACGCCATTATTTAAGGATCACTTCTTCTCTTCAGGGAATAGCCATTTTAAATAAAGGAATTTCACCTCAAGCCACTGCTGAAAACAAATTTCAAATGCCTGAATTTTAAAGCTAGCCTGAATTCTAAAGTAAATGTTAAGGTGATTCATTAAAGTCTACATATAATAATACAAATTATTATATGACTATATAATATATAATATAAAACAGGCAAGAGGGACAACTTATACATGATTTAAAATAAATACCTCTTCTGAAAGATGTATGAAATACAGCTTTTATTTTTTGAAGACACAGCATATAGGTGGCTGGCACAAAGTAGAGGCTCACTACATGGTAATAACTGATTGAACGTATACAAAGAAGGTGAAAAACCAGTTTTAATTATCAGAGGAAAGACTAAAACGTCTAGTCTTCATGTCAGCCACATCTGAGGCCAAATAAATGATACAAACATATAAACTAAGAGCCCTGTGTTTATTTTGTATTTACTTATCAATGTATTTCTTGGTATAAAAATGGAAATCGATAGAAATATAAGACATTTTAGGAACACAGTGAAGGGATTAGATAATATTATCAATTAGAATGTCACAAGGGTGAAAGGGCCTTCAAAATATTTAGGTTAACAACTAATATACTGATGGAATGTAGAAAAACAACTTTAGTAAGAGTCATAAGCAAAATTCAAAGGAGACAGAAACAAGATTTTCAAAAATAAAAAAGAACATGTTTGGTATCTCAAAAAGCTCAAACTTAGAAGGAAAATGTCCAACTACACAGTGTTTAAAAATCAAAAAAACTCTCAAATACAGTATGCATTATACTTTGACAACAAGTAATATATAATTAAGAAAGATCTGGAGGTTGGGAAAAAAAGGACAGATTAAATTAGTTATAGTATTTTTTAATAAAAACACTTACAACTTTCATAATTGATTTTTCCCATGCTATTGATTTCTGTAATTGCTGAATGCACAGAGCTACCTGTGCAGCACTGCGAGCTTCTGATAATGCCCTTCTCCAGACCCTGAGCCCTGGAGCAATATCCTCTTCAATTCTGCATTGAAATATAGAAAAATTAAGTAGGTCATGTCTACATTTATGGTTACTGAATGTGAAACAATCATCACACTGAAAGCCAAGCAATGACAAAAACATGTGACAGCCAATAAGTATAAGGTTTAAGCAACTAAATTGGATGTAGTGCACAGACTGTGGCTACGTGCCTCAAAGCTTAGTCACAACCAGGTAAATGTAAGATCACTTTGCAAGGATTATCAACGCACATAACAAAAAAAAAAAAAAAAGTTTTTACAAAGCATCATGCAAATAGCATGATCCATATGGATCACAGACATACAAGAAGATACATAGATAACAGGCAATAGAAAATAGGCTCCAATTAGCAAAGAAGCACAATAATTTTTCAAGTTAATCTCAATAACCTACCCGTCACCATCACCACTAATGGATGGTGCAGGAGCAGGGACAGTAACTGTGCCCACATTATCCAGTTTGATCTGAATGGTGGTACTTAAGGGGCTCTTCAGATACCTTCTTTCAATGTTCCGCTCCAAATCAGCCAGCCTGGTTACAGCTATATCTAGGGGGTTGTCACTCTGCCGTTCTAGTGCATGTGCACTGCTTTCTTCTTTGCCAGTAAATTCACCATCATGCTCCTTGCACAATTTAGTAAATGACTTATGTTCAAAATATACCAAGTCCTCCCTTTCTGATGCAGGCTCTGGACACATCCAACCCTATATATCAAGAGAATAGTGTTATTACCGTTTTCTCTCAAAATGCCGGGTGGGTGTATTACCTTTACTTAAAATACAGCATCAGCCACCAGCAGATCTCAAGGATCTTTACTAAAAGCTTTTACCTTGTACTTTCCTAATGCTAGGCAGAAACAAGAAAAACAAAAACTTTAAAACAGTTTTAAGAAAAGCTTGAAAAGGAAAAATTTAACCACTTCTGATATTATGAAAAGTATAATAAAAATCAAAAAAGTACTCTAAAGGATTTTTGACTTAGATTCTTATTAACTGCATAGAACCACTGAAATGGAAATCTCTTGGTAGCCTCTAAGCCTTGCTCTTCCTTTCTGTTTTCATTCCTTCCACTAATCTTCTGTACAAGCTCTTTTACTCACCATTTTCCTTTGACCACAGGGGACTTGCATAAGCTGTTACCTTTGCCTTACAGCTTTTCCAGGCTCCTCTTTATCTAGTTAACTCCACTTACTCTGCAGCTCTCAGCTTAAAAGTCACTTCCTCAGAGGATCAATCCTTCCCTGACCACCTTGGTTCTCATTAGGCTCTCACAGAATATAATGCTCCATAGTCTTGTCATGGTTGCAACATTTTACTCATGTGATTATTTGATTAACATCTTTCTACCTCTAAATTCCAAGTGGGCAGGGCCATGTCTGCTTTTACTCATTTTATCTCCAACACAGTGAAGGTAAATAGTAGGCACTCAATTCATATATGTTAATTGAATAAATGAAAGACATAACTCAGCTTGCTTTTATTTATCTTCCAGCTCAAAATTCTTCAAAGATTCTCCACTGTTTAACAAAGTTCAAAATCTTTACCGTGGCATTCAAGTACCTCAATCTCCCTCCCTCTCATGTTCTCATTCATGTATCCTTCAGTCAAATTACGTGTCTTGCCATTCCACAAACACTTGTCCTGAGCTTCCTGATCCCAGTGCTCTGCTCATGCTCTTCCAACTTCCTAGCATGGCATACCCTGTTCTTTAACTGTCAAAAGCTTATTCATCTTCTCAAGTTCCATCTCAACTTCTGCATGAAATCTTCCCTGATCTTCCATATCTCCACCAGAAGCAGTGTATCCTTCTAAATTCAGGTGCTACCCTGTCCTTCTCTATGATTAGTTACTAGATTCTGCATATATTTGTACATGTTTTACTTCCCCTATCATATGGCAAGCTTTCAAATGGCAGGAGCCACATTTTATTCAATTTTGTGGTGTCCACCGTCTGATAGGTTCTCAGTAAATGCTTAGTAAATAAAAACAAAGTGAATATTATCCTTTTTATTAAATTCCTTTAGCGATAGTCTGTATGCTTACATATTGGGATCAATTCTTCACCTTTAATTCATTATAACATTTATATTTAAAAAGGAAGAAAGGAATTATGAGTACTAGGCATAAGTGTAGGGTACAAGTCATGTCAAATGAACCTCATTCCCATATTTTGAAAGGGATACTAAATTGCCAAATCCAGGGAATTCTATAAATATAGTACATCTTGATTTCTGCAAAGCAACTGACGAGAAAACAAAACAAAACAAAGCAATGAGGACGAGATTAGAATTAGAGAAATCTAGATGGTTGAAAACTGTATACAAAGAATGACAGTTAACACAGCTTGTCAACTTGGAAAACTGTCCTCAGTGCCATTGCCCAAAGACTCTATATTTGGCCTGTCCTATTAATGTACTTAGGAATAACTTAGATGACTGCTAATAAATCTGCTGTTAAAACTAGGAAGGAAGTTTAATATTCTGGATGACAGAATTATGATAAAGTAGTTCCATATGCTGAAAAAATGTACTCCAATGAAATTAATAAAAAATTAACAATGATAAATGCAAATTTCAGCTTTGATGCTTAAGCAGCTAATCACAGAAATACCGCATGTGACAAAAGTCACTTAAGAGCAAACCCTTTGAAAGAAGCCCAAGGATTTTTGTTACAGTGCACACTCAGTGAAGCAACAGTATGATGAATGTTAAAAAGCGAGCACAGATTTAAATAGCATTAAAAGAAGTATAGTACCAGATTAAGGAAAGTAAAAGTCTCATGCACAGATTCAGACATCGTTATGGACAGTTATGGGTACAACAGTTGAAGAAGTGTATTGACATTGATGTTTATCCAGAAGAGAATCATGAACTTGGAAACCTTTCACATAACTAATGGTTGAAGGAATTAATAAGATTTAGCTTGGAAAAGAGAAAATTTAAAAAGAGACATAAGAGCTGTCTTTAGAGCAGCTGGAAGAGTGATTAGCCTTTCTGTAAACTCTCAAAAATAGAACGAGGACTAGGGACTCAGAGTGTCCTACAGTATAAAAAGAACTTCTGAATTCTTAGTGATATTAAAGATAGAAATAAACCTAAATAGTAGTCCCAGGCCACCTGCTTAATGTATCTTCACAATGGCTATGTCATCAGGCTAAACATAACTCCATTTTCTTTTTAAGAAAAAAAGAAAGAAAGAAATCATTAAATCATCTATAACCATTGCCACTGAGTCGATTCTGACTCATAGCAACCCTATTGGACAGAGTAGAACTGCTCCATAGGGTTTCCAAGGTTGTAATCCTTACAGAAGCAGACTGCTACATCTTTCTCTCGTGGAGTGGCTAGTGGGTTGAAACTGAGACCTTCTGATTAGCAGCCAAGTGCTTAACCACTGTGCCACCAGTGCTCCTTTGGTTAAAACTAATGTTTTGTGGATTTTTTTTATCATTTGCATCTTTAGACTCTTCTTCAAGACTAATATGATTGCAATTCAACTCTTAGAATAATACAGAATAATTCAGCAATACCTTATTAACAGGATAATATTAAAACATCCCAGTTAAAAAAAATCCCACTTATTTTAGCTACTAAGAACACAACCAAGAACATCTGGCTAAGCAGCCAGTGATGTGATAAGGTCAAGCCACCAAAATCTGAGTATATCACCAGGAAAATGTTTCAGGCCCACACTCTAACTTTACATGTAATTTTAAAAAGCTTGACGATATGCTCTCCTATCCTATAGCCATCTGGAATTGGCAAGTTAGATTAGGGAAGCTGGAGGAAAATAGGGCTAGTAGAACCAATCAAATTTAAACCAGCAAGCAGTAACAAATGACCAGGAGAGAGGACAAAGATGGACTATAAGAAGCAGATGTAATAGTTTAAAAACCAAGGCATGTGAGGATCATTTAGTCTAAGGGCAAACCTCTTCACACCTCCTGTCTAATAACTGGCCTTCATATTTGATGAGCCTATGGCACCAAGACCACTTAAATTACATTCAAAATTCTCAATGTAAGCAGGCAGTAGAATGTGTAATATAAGAGATCAAACAAACTTGTTAAAAAAAAATTATGGCACTAAATGGAATAATTTTTATCTCTCCAGAATATTAACTAGCGGAAGAGTTCATTTGTTGAAGATTCCAGATAAATGAGGTGTTTTTTATATAGAATTATGACAATAGACTTAGCCAATGATATTTTTTTTTTTGCTCCCCAAAGTTAGTGATTTATGTTTGTGGCAAGAAAGATATTTCATTAGCTCTGCAAAACTACATTTTTTTTTGGAGATCTTCAAAAGTTTCCAAATGCCAACATTAAGCTAATTATGAAATGAAATTTTAATTATTGGATAGGATAGTATTATGCCATAATTTTTTCATTCTGAATAAAAAATGAAATATCAACTTATATCAGGACTAAATTTGCTAAACCTCTGCAGGTGTCTTTCCCTTTCATGCTTATTCATCATCCATCCATTTATTCTCAGAGATATCAGTTTATTATCAGTTGAGAACACCATTGTACCCCTCTTTACGAAACCAAAAAGTATTGCACAAAGGTAATGCTTTCCCTTTTGCCTGTTGATTGGAAGTCAATTCTGATCATTGTTTGTGACATGGCCAGTAGATAAACAAAAACTTTATAACTGTATGTGGGGTGTGTGGTTGTGTATATATGTGTATCATAATATAACATATATTTGGATATATCTACATTGTTCTCTAAACTTAAACTATATAGAGTAAGAGTCCAATATATAAAATGGCTTGCATACAAGGGAGTTCCTGGTCCTATATGAAACACTATTGTAGGAGTTTGAGTTCCTGGTCCTATATGAAACACTGTTGTAGGAGTTTGATGGGACTTGACCTAGAGCATTACATTTAACATGGAGAAAACTGTAAAATTCTGTTTGTGGTAAAGAATGAATACCAGACATGATAGTTTTTAATACCATTAAGGAGGCAGCAAGATTTAGTAAAAATAACATGGGAGTCTGGAGTCAGACATACTTGATTTAAACCCACATTTAACCATTCACTATATAATCATGGGCAGGTTACTTACTCTGAGCTTGGTTCTTTACCTGTAAAATTAATTCAAGAATGTTTTGAGAATGAAATAAAGTTTGAAAACATTTAGCACAGTACCTGGCATATAGTACACATGAAATAAATATTAGTTACCTTCCATTACCCTAAAAACAGATCTTATTCCAAGTCAATTTTACCTTTACTTGCAAACTTGCTGATGCAACTCTCCTTTCTAGATCTTCTACCTGTTGAAGAATACTCAAGTCCATTTCCATCGCTTGTTCTTCTACTGACCAGTTCTCCACAATATCTCGAGTTACCTGGTTTTCTTCATTTTCATTTAATTCAATAATAGCAACTATGTTTGAAAAGAAATTAATTTTTTAAATCCACTTTATTAAGTTTTTCCCATCAGAGATTTCTTCCAGAATGTGAATAAAATTCCAGGGGTAACATGTACATCTAACTTGACACATATAAATGCACTTGTGTATGCGCAGGTAGCCTACTGCTAAAAGTAGGAATATTATTTTTAAGAAATATAAAACATTATGCATGTGGGTGTAAAAAATTATAAGAAAAGTAATATCAATTTAAGAAATGTAAATAGTTACTGTTTGTTGAGCAAAATAAGAAAAATGCCTATCAATAATAAATTAAGAATTAAGATACATGAAAATATGTTTTAAGCTAAAATAATTATAACTAAGCGAGAGAGAAGAAATCTCTTAGATACATACCATCCTTATTCTTGATGCAGGCTTGAGTAATATAATCCAAGTGTTTCTGAATTTGTTTTTGTAATGCCTTTTCTCTTATTCCTCTGAGATGTAGCACTTTGAGCAAAGCTTTTAGGTCCTCAGGGTCAATAATCCTCCACCAACCAAACTGCATTTCTAAGTCCAAATAAATATGCAGATCTTTTATAAACATTTTGAATATGAAATCATAGCACAATGCAAATCAAGACTTATTAACTACATATAAACCATCAAAGATTCAGTTATAATACAGAAGTCTGTAATAATGAAATAAAGCGGCTATGAACCATTGCAAATGTACCTACCTTCAGGAATAGGTTTTGGACTAAGAAAATCTACTGGTTTCACTACTTCAATGGCTGCAGGTTGAGTTGAAGAAACTTTTTCATTTTGTGGCACTGGAGATTCACTTTTACTTGAAGCAGCATTGGGAGTCAAGAATGAATTACCATTTCCTTCCGATAATCCCAACCCTGATCCCAGATTAGGTAAAGGTGATGATGTAAATGGAATATTGGAAGTAAGTACACCTGTGGGCCACCCACAAAACTGAAGTCCCATCATAGATACGCCACTTTTTATCTGCCAAAAACAAAACAGATAAAAGTAGAATAAGCTAAGAAGTTTGGAAAAATGTTTAGAATTTAAAATTATTTTTTAATCCTGAAAAAAAAATATTCTTTCACTTATCACAATTAGAGGAAAAATCCACTTTATTAAGTTTTTACAATAGCAACAACAATGTTAAATTTCATGTTCTTATTTGCTCCCCAATCAAAATAATTTCCCTCTCAGAAATGCTGTAACAGTAACAAGCTACAAGTAATTAAAGAAGCAAATGTCTTAGGTTTAGACATAGGTTAGAAATCTGTAGTTCTAACGAAGCTTGGTGATAGAAATTCGGACTCTCTTCAGTTTTCAAACTGTGGCGGGGATAATATAACTATTCAACTGATTCCACCTTGAATGAAAATCTTTATGGAGTCAAAGATTAAAGAAATATAAAAGTGAATTAAAGTTAGCAATACTAACCTGAAGAGGTGATAAAGCAAATGGATTTAGGCCAATAGGATTCTGAGAGGAAGATGATCCAAGAAGAGGAGCTGGGGCAGGTGAAGGTGACTTAGGTGGTGGCTGAGACTGAGGAGCCACTAAAGATGCAGCTGACACATCAGCATGGGTAAGTGAAGTGTCATCACAAGGTGTTCTTGGCAAAAGGCTAAACCACTGTCTGTTCTTTTCAGTCAGCGTTTTTAACAACTGGTCACTGGGGAGAGGACTATAGAACTTTCCTGGACCACCTGAACCAGGACTAAACAGATTATTAGAGTCTGTCTTTTCCACGTTGCTTTGTGTTGCTGTTGACTGAAGGCTGCCCAGTGAATGTTTCCCACTGTTCTGATAAGACATAGTGCACCCATTTGCACTACCATTTGGTTTGGGTGTCATAGAATCTGACTCAGGGGGCATCTTAGCTACTTCTAAAAGCTTGCTTAATTTGGAGAAAGAGCCAGGTTTTTGAAGAAATAGATTTGTGTTGTCTTTTTCTTTAAGATCTTCCTTTTGTTCACAGTGATCTGTATTTAAACAATTTAAAATGTCCCCAGAAGTCTCAAACATTTCTTCTTTGATCTGGATACTTTCTGCCTTTTTTAGTTTTTCTCTTTCTTTTGCAATTTCTTCCAGTCCTACAAAATTGAAAAGTATTATGAAGTATTACTCCAGATCAAACCACTATACTTTATTACCATCTATCAAATTGTATGCATACATATTTTAATTATCCTTTCTAGATTACTTAATACTCTACTTTTTTAAATAGATTATAGTTTTCATTTCAGGAAAATTAATGTATATTCATTACAAAAACTTAAAATACAAAAAAAATAAAAAGTATCCAAAACCCTATCACACAACAAAAATCACCCTTAACATTTTTGTACAAATTCTTACAAGAGTTCTCTATGCACACACATGCATACTTAAACATACATAATTTTTAAAAAAGGAATATATGCATATTAATCTAACCTACATTTTACTGAATAACGCTTGATGAAGATTTTTATGTGTCAATATATACCTACATCATAAATTTTAATGGATACAGAGTATTCAGTGCAATATATCATAAGTTAAATAACCAAGCTTCTATTGATGGACATTAAAAACCAAAAAACAAACCCATTGCTGTCAAGTCAATTCCAACTCATAGTGACCCTAGAGGATAGAGCAGAACTGCCCCAAAGGGTTTCCCAGGAGCGGCTGGTGGATTTGAACTGCCAACATTTTGTTAGCAGCCATAGCTCTTAACCACTTCTGCACTAGGGCTCTGTACAGTCCAATTATTTACTATTGTAATCAATGCTATAAATGATGGATTTCCTTGTATTTGCATTTTGGGAATTTTTTTTTCTAATTTACATCTTGAGGATAAATTCCTAGAAATAAACTTACTGATTCTAAGATATGTACTTTTCAGAGTTTTTAAAAAGGACTATCAAACTACCTTCTAGAAAGTCTTAATATACACTCAGACCAGAAGTATATAGGAGTACCCGTTAGCCTACACTCTTAACAAACTGGATACTGTCAATATCTTTTCTTTGCCAGTAACTGTTGTTGTTATTAGGTGCCATTAAGTCAGTTCCGACTCACAGTGATGCTATGTACAACAGCACAAAATAGTGCCCAGTCCCGCGCCATACTCAGAATCACTGCTATGTTTAAGCCTATTGTTGCAGCCACTGTATCAATCCATCTTGTTGAAGGTCTTCCTCTTTTTTGCTGCCCCTCTACTTCACCAAGCCTGATGTCCTTCTCCAGGAACTGGTTCCTCCTGATAACATGTCCAAAGTAAGTGAGATGAAGTCTCGCCATCCTCACGTCTAAGAAGCATTCTGGCTGTACTTCTTCCAAGACAGATTTGTTCATTCTTCTGGAAGTCCAAGGTGTATTCAAGATTCTTTGCCAACACCATAATTCAAAGACATCAATTCTTCTTTGGTCTTCCTTATTCATTGTCCAGCTTTCACATGTGTATGAGGCGACTGAAAATACCATGGTTTGGGTCAGGCGCACCTTAGTCCTCAAGGTGACATTTTTGCTTTTTAACACTTGAAAGAAGTCTTTGGCAGCAGATCTGCCCAATGCAATATGTCGTTTGATTTCCTGTCTGGTACTTCCATGGATGTTGACTGTGCATCCAAGTAAAATGAAATCCTTGACAACTTCAATCTTTTCTCTGTTTATCATGATGTTGATTATTGGTCCAGTTGTAAGGATTTTTGTTTTCTTTATGTTAAGGTATAATCCATAATGAAGGTTAGAGTTGTTGATCTTCATCAGTAAGTGCTTTAAGTCATCTTCACTTTAAGCAAGCAAGGTTGTGTCATGTGCATATTGCAAGTTGTTAATGAGCCTTCCCCCAATGCTGATGTTGCGTTCTTCATACAGTCCAGCTTCTCAAATTATTTGCTGAGCATACGGACTGAGTAAGTATGGTGAAACGATACAACCCTGACACACACCTTTCCTGATTTTAAACCACACAGTATCCCCTTGTTCTGTCTGAACAACTACCTCTTGGTCTATGTACAGGTTTTACATGAGCACAATTAAGTGTTCTAGAATTCCCATTCCTCGCAATGTTATCCATAATTTGTTATGATCCACAAAGCCAGATGCCTTTGCATATTCAATAAAACACAGGTAAACATCTTTCTGGTATTCTCTACCTTCAGCCAAGATCCTTCTGACATCAGCAATGATATTTCTTGTGCCACATCCTCTTCTGAATCCGGCTTGAATTTCTGGCAGTTCCCTGTCAATGTACTGCTGCAACCGTTCTTGAATTATCTGTAGCATAATTTTACTTGTACGTGATATTAATGATATTGTCTGTTGGATCACTTTTCTTTGGAACAGGCACATATATGGATCTCTTCCAGTCAATTAATCTTCCAAACTTCTTGGCATAGACAAGAGACCGCTTCCAGCATTGCATCCGTTTGCTGAAACATCTCAATTTGTATTCTGTCAATTCCTGGAGCTTGTTTTCCACCACTGCCTTTACTGCATCTTGGACTTCTTCCTTTAGTACTGTCATGGACTGAATTGTGTCCCCCCCAAAATGTCGGCTTGACTGGGTCATGATTCCCAGTATTGTATGACTGTGTGATCTGATGTGATTTTCTTACGTGTTGTAAACTCTATCACTATGATGAGGTTATATGTGATCTCCTTATGTGCTGTAAACTCTATCACTATGATAAGGTTATACTGATGACATCTACAAGATTAGATAGTGTCTTAATCCAATCTCTTTTGAGATATAAGAGAGAGAAGCGAGCAGAGACACACGGGAACCTCACACCACCAAGAAGGCAGTGCCGGGAGCAGAGTGCATCCTTTGGACCTGAGGTTCCTGCACTGAGATGCTCCCAGACCAAGGGAAGACTGATGCATCACAAGGACCTTCCTCCAGCGCCGACAGAGAGACAAAGCCTTCTCTTGGAGCTGATGCCCTGAATTTGGACTTGTAGCCTACGGGACTACGAGAGAATAAACTTCTCTTTGTTAAAGGCATCCACTTGTGGTGTTTCTGTTAGAGCAGTACTAGATGACTAAGACAAGTACCATTGGTTATTGATCATATGCTACCTGCTGAAATGGGTGAATGTCAACCAGTTCTTTTTGGTACAGTGACTATGTGTATTCCTTTAATCTTCTTTTGATGCTTCCTGCATTGTTCAATATTTTCTTCAGTTGTTTCAGCTTGAGAAATGCCAAGCCCAGAAAACCCTTTTGGTTTTCTAACACCAGGTCTTTGTGCATTTTAGTATAATATTTTACTTTGTTGTTTCGAGCTGCCCTTTGAAACCTTCTGTTCAGCTCTTTTACTTCCTCATTTCTTCCATTTGCTTTAGCTACTTACATTTAAGAGCAAGTTTCAGAGTCTCTTCTCACATTATTTTGGTCTTGCCTGTCTTTTTAATGGGTTTTTGTTTTCTTCATGTATGATGTCCTTGATGTCATCCCACAATTAGTTTGGTATTCAGTCATTAGTGTTCAATGAATAAAATCTATTCTTGTGGGATATACTCAAGGTTGTATTTTGGCTCCTGTGGACTCATTTTAATTTTCCTCAGCTTCAACATGAAGTTGCATACAAGCAATTGATGGTCTGTTCTGCAGTTGGCCCCTGGCCTTGTTCTGACTGGTGATCGTCTCTTTCCACAGATGTAGTTCATTTGATTCCTGTGTTTCCATCCAGTGAGGTCCACATGTACAGTCACCGTTTATGTTGTTGGAAAAAGGTATTTTCAATGAATAAGCTGTTGATCTTGCAAAATTCTATCATGTGATCTCCGGCCATATTTTCCAACTACTAATCCTTCTTCTGTTTCTAACTTTCACATTCTAATCACCAGTAATTATCAATGCATCTTGATTTCATGTTTGATCGATTTCAGACTCCAGAAGTTGGTCAAAATTTTCAATTTCTTCATCTTCGTCATTAGTGGTTGGTGTGTAAATTTGAATAACAGTCATATTAACTGGTCTTCCTTGTAGGCATACGGGCATCTTATCACTGACAGCATTGTATTTCAGGATTAGATCTTGAAATGTTCTTTTTGATGATGAATGCGATACCATTCCTCTTCAACTTGTCATTCCCAGCTTAGCAGACCATATGATTGTCTGATTCAAAATGGCCAATTCCAGTCCATTTCAACTTACTAATGCTAAGATATTGATCTTCAAGCGTTCCATTTCATTTTTGATAACTTCCAATTTTCCTTGATTCATACTTCATACATTCCACATTCCAGTTATTAGTCGATGTTTGCAGCTGTTCCTTCTCATTTTGAGTCATGCCATGTTGGCAAATGAAGGTCTGGAAAGCTTTACTCTATCTATGTCATTAAAGTTGACCTACTTTGAGAAGGCAGCTCTGCCCCGGTTGTATTTTGAGTGACTTCCAACCTGAGGGGCTCATCTCCAGGCACTATACAAGACAACATTATGCTGCTACGCATATGGTTTTCACTGGCCAATTTTTCAGAAGTAGATCGCCAGGTCCTTCTTTCTAGTCTGTCTTAGTCTGGAAGTGCCACTGAAACTTATCCACCTTGGCGGACCCTGCTGGTATTTGAAATACCAGTAGCATAGCTTCCAGCATCACAGCAACATGCAAGCTACGACAAACTGACAAACGAGTGGTGGTTGCCAGTATGTAGGAGGTCAAAATCTAAATATGCATTGTATTAATTACTAGTAAGGCTGAGTATATTTCATAGGTTTATTAGTAATTCTCCTTGTGAACTGCTGGTTCACATTTTTGTCCATTATTTTAAAAAATCGTTTATAATAGCTATTTTAAAAATATAAATCCACTACTTTATTCAATTTAAACAGTAATATATATTCAAGGTAAAATATTCAGTAGTGAAGAGTATAAAGTAAAACCCTTTCTGACCTACTCCTGAAGTCCCTATTTCTACTCTTTAGAGGCAATCATGGTTAACCATGTGTATATATCCTTCCAGAAATTTTTTATGTATGATGTGTTTGTGTATATCTACCCATTGCCGTCAACTTGATTCCGACCCATTGCAGCCCTATAGGGCAGAGTAGACCTGCACCATAGGATTTCCAAGGAGCAGCTGGTGAATTTGAACTGCCG